AACTATTAGTATATTAAATAATAAGAATTCAACAAAAAAGAGAGAAGAATGAAAAGAAAGAAGATGATGGATTGTCAAAACTAAAGATAATTTATGAAACTATAAAGAGGAGAGTGTAAAAGATGAAAGAAAAAGGAAAATAAAAGGAGAAGAAGCTCAAAGAGAAAATAAGATGTTACCTCTGGAAAGAAAGAGAAGGGAAGAGGTAAGAAGATGAAAATTAGAAGACAATTAGATGTTCTAATGTCGGAGTAGTATTTATATCTCAAACATATTTGACAGAATTTCTGTTGATTATGTTTGAAATTTAAGTAGTCGGGAAATTCAATTTTTTTGGTTGGCAAGGCGAGTGCAGCGTTATATTCGACAGCCAATATGGCTGTCAAATATAGTCATAGTTTTTTTTTAATTTATTTTTTTAATTCTTTAATCCTTATATTTAAACAGATATACTATTTCTTTGAACTAATGGACAGTCTAATTTATCTAATTATTTCTTTTTTGTTGAATTATTTTTTGGTTTTTCTTTTGAGTTTTTTTTTATTAATTCTCTTGTAAAATTTTTGGTTGAAAAGTAATAAGAATCAATTTTTTTTGAGCTTATAATTAATTATAAAAATTCTAGTTGAGATAAAGATATATATATGTTATTTCTTTGTGAAATATTATATTGTAATTTTTTTCATTTTGCTATAGGTTGTTAGATTTTACTAATATTATATATTTTGCCTATTTAAACTCAAATACTACATAACTAAAACTAGTTTAAGTTAATAAATATATACTAACTTCTCATCCTACACAACAAATATATACATATGCAGTATATATATAAATATATAATATAAGTTTAAAATATCTATGTCTCTAAGTAGGAGGTGGTAAGTGATGAGATCTAAACCCTCCAAAAGAAGGACCACAGTCTGGGGTGGTGCAGAAGAAGGACAACCAGTATGGGTGTAGCATTCATAGAATATTGCTAGCTAAGTAAGCGCATGTGCTCTTGGAATCTGCTCTCAAAGCTGACCTCCATCTCTGATACTCTCTGTGATACCTCTGTATGAATACATGTGGCCACCTCTGCTGAACTCGCTCAACCATTTCTTCCCTAACTTGAGTAAGCTCAGACTTCAACTGCTGGACTTGTGTCGTAAGAATCTTGGTGGTAGAAAAGGAGGCCTCACTCATGTCATACTGTCGCCAAGGGATGCCATGCTCTACCGGATCCTGTAATGTAGACATCCCTCTCATTTGACCCTTTTTGGGGGGGTCCAACCACCTCCTTCTAGATAAGTGGATCCCATTCTGGCCATAAATCCGTGTTTAGCCCATGCTTCTCTACATATATTTGGTGAGCATCATTATATTTCAAAAATAAAATTTTCTTTAGTTAGCAATTTCAAATGATAATGGGAAATCAAATGAAAAATAACAATGATTGAGTACAACGGATAAAAAATTGTATCACCTTTCTTCTTTTGATCAAAATTGACATTAAAAATAAATATAATTAATATCATAAAAGAATAAGATACTTACATGTGTCTGCTCAGCCTATGGACATATCCAAGTGAATGGGGCATCTTCTGAAGCATCAAGTCAGCGAGTCGTGTGAGTCAACAAGTACGACTCTAAAGGTGTCGGCCTAACTCCTTCCCTTTTGGCTGTCTATTAAAACATCAATAAAATCAATAACATTTCCATTTTTATGGTAAACAAAAATAATTTATATATATAAGTATATCCTACTAAGTAGTCGATCCTCCTGGATCCTAATAGAAATGCATCTAGTTGTGTGGATCACACAGTCACCCTTTGCTCGGTTTTTCCGACCTCTTTCTTAGAGTGCAATATATTTTGGACTCCCCCATTTTGCCAACAAAATTTTAAAGATATCCTTATGCATGAACTCAGGCAACTTCTTGTACTTGACCCACGCCTTTCGGGCTCGATGAAGCTTGTCTCGAAAATGGTTCCGACAATGTAATCTCCAAATTTTACACACACGAGCATCATCTTCTTCCCAATAATATGTCCTCTGCAATGATTTTTAAAAAAATTAGTTAAATTTTAATAATTTATTTGATTTTTTTTAAAAAAGGGCAAAGTTTCACTTAAATTATTATTTTTTCCACTATTAATAAATAAAATATAAAAAATCATATAAAATATATTCAATACTTTCGTATCAAATGCCATCAAATGATAACATCTAAATAAATTCTAAAAAATACTTCACTTATTCTATAATTTTCATACTTTGAAATTCTTCCAAGCAACCCTTTTATTTTCCTCAGGCCAACTAGACCAAAAAAGCACTGGCTCATCATACAAGTACTTCCATATTACTGTTGCAGTCCTCCCAAACCTCTCATGGCTGAATGTGCCTCGGCGATTAAGGCTAAGCAACTTCCTTTGACTTGAGTCTGCAAGAGCATCATCTCCTTTATCCATGCCACGTCCTGTCTTAGGGACAGCACGTGATAGCTCATCCTCCAGCTGAGCATCTAACTCAGGATCAAGCACAGCAAACTCAGCATCCAACTCAGCCTCCAAATTACGCTTTTCAGTGTCCTCCTCCATTGTTGCATCATCACCAGGGTACTGGTCATCGTCCACTCGTGACTGGGTAACAGTGGGTTGCTCCTGCTGCAGTTGTGTGGGAAGCTGACTGAGTCAAGCTGGAAAGCTGCTATTGTGCGGGAAGCTGGCTCAAGCTGGGCAGCTGCTACTGTGTAGGAACAACTTTACGAGGCCCCCGAATAAGACCATGAAGTTGCTTTTGTGGTTCTCCCTTTGGATCAATCTGTTGTCTAGAAGAAGATGCACCTTGCGTACCTCATCCCATATCTATATACAAAAAATTTTAAAGAATAAAAAAAACCAAAATATAAAAATATTCAATTAATAACTTTTAGATTAGATAAAGATATAATAGCAACCAAACTCATTAAATAAGTTCAATAGTTTAATACAATATGAAAAAAAAAAATCATACATTAGATTAAAATGAGATTTTAAAAAATGAGAAAAAAAATGAAAAATATAAATATCAATACACAACTAAATATATATATAACTATAAATTTATAAAATATATATTTATAAGTAAATAGATATCAATATAAATATAATAATATATAAATATAACTTCACTATAAATATCAATATAAATAATTATAAATGTATATTGATATAAATATAAATATAAAAAAGTCATTAATTTATTAACTTATAATAAATAAAATATAAGTAGTCCTTCATCCCTTGTTCAATTAATTAAAAAAATCAAATAAGATACATCTAGTCACTATCACTCTCAGTTAAGTAATTTAGAACTTTTTCTTCCAATGTTTCCGTTCCATCAAACTCTTTCTCTTCATCATCATCCTCACCCACACATTCTTCCTCTGCCACATATGGCAATTACATGACCTCACTAATCACCACTTGTTCTCCCCCTTGAGATGCTAGTGAAACATGATCATTTAAAACAATCGAGGGTTGCACCAATTATGGCATAGAAGGATCATTGTCTTAATAATAATCATTGCCACCATCACTCAACAATGAAGTGTCAATTATTGCTCCTATTCTAATCTTACATGCAACAAACCACCCTTTTCTACAAGGATTTCGAGATGGATAACGGGCATAAAACACTTGTTGAGCTTGACTAGACAATATGAATGATTCATCTGTTTGTAATTTAAACCGAGGATTTATGTCAACTATACTAGATGTTGAATGGACCACAATGCCTTTGTTGATATCATACCACTCACACTTGAACAAAAGCACTAATTGATGAACTGAGTCAAAATACTGAAGCTCAATTATTTCCTTCAAACTCCCATAATAATCTGACTCATCAGTGAAAGTGGTTCCCTTCACACAAACACCGCTATTCATGGTCTTTTTCTTTTGTCCATATGTGATAGTATGAAACCGGAATCCATTAATTGTATACCCTAACGTTACTGACTGGGCCAGTTACTAAAGGCAAAAGGCGAGAATCAACTTCATATCTTCCACTACGCACCTGCATTTGTTATAAAAATATTTAATATTTAATCCTAAAATATATAAAAATTGAGATCTTAATAATAAAAATTATTAAAATAAATTACTTATCATTGTCTTAAACTAAGGAATAAATTCAAATTGCTATTTGATTTGAATTTGATCGTCTAACAGACCGGAACATACTTGATACTCAAAAAGCTTACATGAAGAAATTGGAGTAAACAATCTATACATATTAGTAACTTAAAAAATGAAAGTTAGAACTAGAACATACGCAATCCATGAATTAACTTCTTCACAATTAAGCAAAACATAAAGTTCTGCTGCCTTTAATTCTTTGGGTGACAGTACACACCTACGCATTTTTCCACCTAGTGGTTGACTTCGATGTTTAAAGACAAACAAACAATTATCCATATCATCATTCACGCTGACAATGTTTCTTGGTTGATGATATCTTGTCTCTATGTTAGATCCAAAATAATGCGAGCAAAAAAAGGTAATTTCTGAAAGAATATTAGACTCACAAATCAAAGCTTCAACACGATTTTTGTTCAACACCTTTTTCCTTAAGGTCATGCATTTTTCTGTTAAACAAATAAGAACATTAATTAATAAAATTAAATTATTAAATATGCTCATGAAAGTTATGGTGATGCAAAGGTATATTAGAAAATTTATACCTTTCAAAAGGATACATCCAACAGAATTAGACAAGTCCTCCAACATTTGTCTCATATGGTAAATGGATAGTCAAATGCTCCATCGAGTCAAATAATGCTGGCGAGAATACTATTTCTAGCTTGCAAATGGTTTCAACAATTTTTTCCTCTCACATCTCCATGTTACTGACTTGAATAATCAGAGCAATTAAAGCTCTAAAAAAGTTACTAATCTCAGTTAAAGGACCCCAAACTTCATCTACGAGGAAATCACAGAAAGCGATTGGCAAAAGATGTTGCATAATACATGACAATCATGGCTTTTCATCCCAAACAATCAAAGTTCCTGCATGTTAACACATTGTGCTATGTTGAATGCATACCCATCTAGGAATCTCAAATCTTTCAGCCACTGACAGATAAAAGCTCGTTGCTCTCGAGTAAGAACATATGTAGGATTGGGTTTTATAGCTGTTCCATCATCTTGAAGTATCAATTCTAATTCAGATCTATTGCAATACAGTTGTAGATCCAATTTAGCATTTGTGTTATCCTTCGTACAACCCTTGTCATCCATGACAATATTTTTAATTTTGTCTAAAAAATTCTTCTCACAATGCATGACATCAAGGTTATGACGAATCAATAAATCCTTCTAGTATGGCAATTCCCAGAATACGCTATGTTTCACCCAATTATAAAAAACACCAAATCCTGCAATTGAATGTTTACAAAGTGGCTGGCCAAAGACTATGTCAGGGAGCTGATTAACCATTTCTTTTATCAAAGTACCATCTAGTCTTGGGGGGGGAGGGATGGCTTTTCTCAACTCTATTGAGATAAAAATTTTTCTTATTATCTCTACGAAATGGATGTTTAGGATGTAGAAATTGACGATGACAATTAAAAAAATGATGTTTTTCTCCCATATTGAAGTTGAAAAGCCTTAGTGTTCTCCATGCAATAAGGGCATGGCAACGTCCCATGTGTGCTCCATCCAGATGACATGCCATAACCTGGAAAATCACTTATAGTCCATAACAATGCAGCTTTCATGATAAAATTCTATTGCCTAAAACCATCATAAGTTTCAATCCCATTTGTCTACAATTCCTTAAGTTCATCAATTAATGGCCTAAGCATGACATCAATGTTTTTTCCTAGACTTTTAGGTCCAGCAATTATCATGGCAAGAAATATATGCTCTGACTTCATACGCAATTCAGGAGGAAGGTTGTACATTGTAAGAAAGACAGGCCAACAAGAGTAAGGTGTTGCAAGGCAACAAGAGTAAGGTGTTGTAGGGCAACCAAATGGATTGAAACCATCTGTGCATAGGCCAAGTCTAACATTTCTAGGTTCCTCAGCAATTATTGGGTGGGTTTTATCAAAGTGTTTTCATGCCTCACTACCCGCACGATGAATAACTTCATCCAC